ATTCACACACATTCATACGCTGATGGAGGGGCCATGCCCACCATCAGCGTATTACTCCCTGAAATATAGTCAGTAATGGAAAGTAACGAAGTACTTTTACTGTAGTACTGTCTTCTGTAACTTTATACTTCTACACTACAGTTCAGAGGCGAATGAAGTGCTTCTTACACCACTCCATTCATTCTACACTTTAGTGGCAGATTCACATTAATAAAACAAAATATAATCAACAATCAATGATGATGTTTTATTTAGACAAGCCTTTATTGATCCTGGGGGGAAATTCACAAGCAGATATATGTACATTCTGTACTTAAAATGTTTTTTTGATGCTAATTCTTACTCAAGCAAGTTTTTAAATGCACGACTTTTAGTTGTAACGGACACTACACTGTGGTATAACTGCTTTGAGTAATACTTCTTCCATTAATGAATGTAGTGGAGTCAAAGTATAAAGTACTTGTAACCTGAAAATTGTACTTAAGTAACATACTCAAGCAAATGTATTTAATAGAGTACTAAGTTTCAACCACTGATGCATTTTATTGAACTATACTTCTAGATTTATTGGAGACATTTTTAAATACTAACATTTAAAATCTAGCCTACTTATTGTATGTTTGTATTTTGATTGTATTTTACCTTCACTGTAAACCCGAATTTATTTCAAATTAAACTTTTGAGTAGTCATTACTTATACTTGCGTGTTTTGTAAAACAACTGTGTCATTACAAAATCTATTTAGTAGTTTGCACTAATCAACTGAAATATTGAGTGCAATGATCATGTTTAGCAGAGATAACATGGTAGGTTACGTTTCTGTAAGGGGGGGGCCCGTTTGAATTTCACTCGATTAAGCATTAGTGCCGTGTGCAACGCAGTGACGAGCCCAGAGGAGTCTGCTCGTCCTGCGTCCGACCGCGAAACCTATCCTGGCTTTGACGGAGCTGCGGGATTTCTGCAACAACTTTGAACCAAGTGGAATGGTGAGTGTGTACTCTCACCATATTGACTGTAACGTTAGATATCATTCTGGGAGCATTTATTTCAACAAGTAAGCTAAACGCTAACGTTAGCTGAGTGTTAGCATGCTAACGGTTTTCTGTGGGTCCAGTTTATAACTTTAACACGTGTTTGCATGTGCTGTGTTTTAAGCTCGCTGACGATAACGTTACGTTAGCTTTTCAAAATAGTGTTTGGTTAGGTTGCGCAGGAGTTATTTATTGCATTTATAGCAGTAACTTAGCTAGCTTCTCAAGGCACGAGGTCATTAGTTGGTTGTTAGCAGAGGCTGGGTAACGTTTTGCAGTGGAGTTAATGTTACTGGAACTGGGTTGTTGAACTGAAAGTTGAGCCAATAGTTTTCTTCTTGTTTTCACAGGTTCTTGTGAAGATGCAATGGAAGTGTACATATTGTGAGTTCATAAGTCTACTCGGATCGCGCACCGTCAAACAGCGGACTCGCTGCTGACACCGGGGTATCCGCACATCAAACGCGCCTTTTTCCCCCGTTCAAATACTGCAGGCAGGTAACAGGCAGCCTACCATTAGGACCCAGGCAACAGGGGGCATACCATACCATACAATGGGGTGGGAGGTTCACCTTTCCTCCTGAACTCAGACAAACCTGAGAGAGCAGCTGATCTACCTCGAGGCCAGCCTTTGTTTGGTAAGTTCTCTTTCCTTTTTTAAATATGTTTAAAAGCATGATTTTAAGAGTCAAATTGTAGAAAAAACATTCTGTAAAGTGTTAACAGTACTTTTTTGATCAATTTTAGATTTCCTCCCTGGCAACCATCGGAGGACATGACACAAAACGGGTTACATGGAACATCCTTGCCCGCATGTTCAACGATGATGTTGGGAAGAGAATGAACTGGAAAGGGATAAATGGGAAAAAGTCCTTCAGCCAGATGGAGTCGAAGACTTTGCTCCTGCGTAAGTAACTGCAATATTTAATGAAAACAATCTGAAGTCACCCAGAGGTCTTAGGTAGTGTTCAAACTTACAAATTCTCTTTGCAACTTCAACTTCATTCTCTGCTCAGGTAGATATTACACGACTATATCTTTACATAATATTTATATGATATATTATCTCTGAATATAGCATAGCAAACCTTTACATGCCAGACAGTCACTAGCTTTTAGACTGCATGTCTGCTATATGTTGCACTGAGGGTTCATGGGATTTTGTATGATCTGCTTGTGATTACAGATGCTGTCGAAAGAATCATGTCTCACGTGCCGCCACAAATGATGAGTGTGAAATGGCAATGAGGTGGTTCAACCTGGCAGCAGACAGGGGAAGCTCCAGGAGGCGTGCCACAGTCAGCATCCCTACTGAACAAGCCTAAACATGTATGTGTTATACATGTGATACATGCAATGTTTTAAAATCCTGTTTTTGATGCTGTTCATTGCAGAGTTTGCTATCTGTTTAGGTCTTATATGCAGAGACACCTCAACTGTGGGGTCTGCTAGCCCCTCCAAACCAAGCCTCACATGGTCTTAATCCCCCTTTGTCACCAAAGACTCTCAGGAAATGTTTAACTACTAAGATACTTATTTAGAATTATGTTATAAGTTTGTTGAATGAGGAGTAGGAATGTTCCACCACTTGTGTTTTACAGTGTATGCTCAGGACTGCATATTGGTGTTCAGTTGTTTCGATATGTTTAACCCAGTTCCTCTGTCCTTATCCAGTCAAGTTGTAATGTCTGCATGTGAATAGTCATTCACAACGCACAGTTACTGTGTAATGCTGTATTTCTTCTCTCGACAAGTTGGAATTTCTTTCAGTTTTAACAGTTACAATGCAATGTTTTGAAAAAATAAAACACATTGGAACATTAAAATGTATTTAATTTCTTTCCTTCTGTACAATTTTCTTGAAACAAACATTAAATCTCAAAATCAAATAGTATAATTAATTTAATTAAAAGTAAAGACATTACTTAAATAAACTAATGGTCTTAAGTAGCAATAAATAATGTTATATTAGTGATTTGTTTATATATGCTTATGTATGTTGAACTTAAAATAGTTATTTCATTGAACTTACACTAAAAAGAAATGATTCAAGTGAACTAATGATTTTTAGTAAAGATTACTAATGTGGACTTAAATTTGTCTACTGCATTAATTAAGTTTCTATGTTAACACAACTTGATCTGTTTAGTTCCTCCATTTGTAAAAACTTAAATGGTTTGAGGCAACGGGTTTCCACGCGGTTTTCTAGTAAATTCAACTAGTTCGGGCTAACAGTGTTTTGTAGGTCTCACTTGTACTTCATATTTATTTATCATCCAAAATCCTAAATAAACTCCAGATAGATAGATAGATAAACAGACAGATACATTCTTAATCCCGCAAGGTGAAATTTGTTTGCTACAGCAGCAATTATGATAAGGGTAAGCAATCAAAGGAACATAGTACAAAATATATATATATTGAGTATAAAAATGCACAATATATACAACTAGAAAATGTGCTTTCACTTTTCATATTTGTAATCTTTAATTAGGGTTTCTGTGGCAACGGGGTGCTACAATATATTATACTGAAATGGGTCATTCTGCAAAATGAGTGCTTCTACTTTAGGTAGGCTAGTTTAAGTATACTTTATTGCTCACACTTTTGTATTTTTACTTCAGAGTTTAAATGCACGACCTTTACCTTACTCAATAGAGTATTTCTACACTGTGTAACTAATTTTACTTAAGTAAGAGATTTGAGTACTTCTTCCACCTCTGTCCAGTGGTAGTTTTAGAAGTGTTTACTGAATATTTTATCCAGTAGGCGGCGGTAGGTCTCCACAGCACATTGGTGTCTCTTCACGACACAGACTCTGCTTTTACGGCAGTGTTATTATCAGCCGCAAAGCGAAACGCGTGAAGTCGGAAGAAGGTTAAAGTGAATCCCACAAACACACGGTAAATACAGATATTTTATGTCTAATGTCGGTTTTTAAATAACCGGTTAGCTATAGAGACACGGTGTTGAGTTTATTCATCGTTCAAATAATAGCACCAGTTTGGAAATAGCGTAAAAGCAGAGCGGCCTGACGTTAGCATTAACAAGCTGTCATTGAAGGACAGCATAACGTCACATGATACCACACCTGGGCACAGAGTATAATCATTTATAGGAGTAGTTCTTGAGTTAATGTGCACTTAAATTGATTTAAATATCGGATATACTGCTTTCACTTCTGGGTATTTTTTACAAAGCGCATTAGCCAGCTAGCTACTGTAGTTAGCTCTGTGCTAGCTGGCTAGCTTCGTTTAGCCGAGAGAGTAGAGAAGGGTCTATCTGTACCGTTGAATTATCTAAGGCCTATAGTACACATTTCTATATTATACTGTATTATACTCATAATATGCTGCCTTTATATTTAATATTATGTTTCTGTCCTGTATTTTATGTCATATTAAAACACAATGGGTATGGTAAATACAATCATTAATTCTTTGTTCTCTTACAAACAAATCGCTGTTTGAAAAGCAGCCGTCTTCAAATATGGCTACAGCCTTTAGTAGTAAACCCCAATGTGGTTTATTGCATGTTATCGTGGATCAGACTGGTTGTCAAATGACATTTCTGTTTTGGAATGAAGCAAAACAAAAGTCTTAATGCTGAATGATAAAAATGTCCTCGAAGCCTTCCTTAAAACTGCAGCAAGTAGCTTCCTGTGTAAGAGGGATTTACTCTGCGTTCTTAAGTAGCGTGTTGCTCTATAAGCTCCTCTGCTGTGTGTCTGAGGCACTTCCTGGTCATATGTAGTGATGTTTGTGGTCAAAACAGTATTTTTCTCAGCTGCTCATCTATTCTGCCAGTTTGTTGAGACTATTTTTTCCCCTCATCTGTGTGGTCCTTCCCTCTCCACCACTACATCCCGTGTCGCTCATCATTCTTTCCTCTCTGTCTCCTCCCTCATCAGCCGCCATGCCGTTTGTGGACCTCCAGTCGCGGCTCGGCATCAACCTGGACGGCTGGCTGCTGCTGCAGAGCGGAGAGCAGCCCAACAAGAGGGCAGCTCGCTGCCACGCCTTCGAGAAGGAGTGGATCGAGTGTGCCCACGGCATCGGGCAGACCCGCGCCAAGAAGGAGTGCCTGCTGGAGTTTGAGGACTTCTACGAGTGCATGCACAGGCAGAAAACAGTAAGTGGATTATCGATGACCTCTGTGTGCCAGTGAGCAGCTTTTGAAGTATTTTTTTAAAAGGGTCACTAGAGTAGAAACAAGAATCAATGTTCCAGCAGGAAATGTAAGTTCATGCCGTGAACACAGCTGAGACAACTGTTTTAGCAGAACTTGCTGTTTGATGATGTGACTTTTTGTTACGTGGATCTGCCTATCACTTATTTACTTGCTAAAATATTAACATGATGTCAGAACAAAAAGAAAAAATGTAGTTTAATATTCCTCCTATCCACATTTGAATGGTTCACTAAGCTTAATTACATTGAATATAGTAGATATAATTAGATTTTATTTTTCGCTGATCAGCTGATAAGATAACTGAAAGTGACTCTTTCTGTTGATCAGTGTCTAAATAATCCTATTTCCATCCTCTCCAGAGTTTGTCTGCAGATAAAGTAACCGTAAATTAATCTTCCAGCACATTAAATAACATTCTTAGAAATTTGTTTGCAAAAGGGTTAATTTCTCGTGGCTTCATGTGCACACAAAATCCACATAATTGTCTTGTGAATAATGCATCACGTGTGTAAATCAATCCTTTCGGTCAATGACTGCATCATAGTATAATAATGGCAGGAGGGGCAATATTCGTCTTCTAAAACTGTAACCTGGCAGTGGTTTAACCAGTGAATGTGTTTGTGTAAATGCGAAAGTGATGTAGAGTTGAGACTTTATTTGTTTTTATTCACGAACAATTATCTATGATGTCATTGGTCTGAAACAATACACGCCACAGAAAACTTCCTGGATTACTCTGAAGAGCATAATGTTACTTCCAAAGACTGTAATTCATCAAGTGGCCACTTGAGGCTGGCTCCAAAAGTGAGTCAATCCACTAAAATGCCCAACTTTACAGCAGAAACAAACACGTTTACAGCCTGGTGCAAAGAACAGTTTTGGCTTCTATAACTAATTTCCACATTCATGACCACCTTCATAACTCACCTGTTTAAACTATACTAAAGCTTACAGTTAGGTATGATGGAGTATGTGGCAGCTTTGAGTGACAGGTGGGTGCCGTCTCAGTTCGCCAGCTGCTAGCCGTCTCCTCTGCTGCATCAGCTGGGCCACCTCAGCCCACAATCCACCTCTTTTCCCACTTTTAGAGTTACTGTGTCATCGCTGCCAAGATGGCGTCACCGGAGACGCTCACTTTGAGCTTCACAACAGCTCTTCTGGAGCCTATGGGTGATGTCACGGAGACGATGTCCATATTTTATACAGCTGATGGTATAAAGCAGCAATAAACGGTTTATGAAGGTGAATTAAATGACTATGAATTGATTACAGAAGTGTGTTCAGAAAGAAAAATAGCACCCACGTGCGATCCTTTGAATATTGTCCGAGGTAAACTGGGGTCAGTCTTGATGGACGTGTGTGTCAGCAGAAGAGAGACGCTCTCTGTGAATGTGCTGCAGCAGCAGGAAGTCCGTCGCCTCCACCCAGACGCCTTGATGAGCCCGTTAGCCCCGTCTCATTCTTTCACAACGTGATGGAGGTGAAGTGCTGATTTAAGACGAATGTCAGCTGAGACGACTTCGGAGTCTGACACGAATGTCACATCCACCGAGGTGTATTCATCTCTAAACGTTAGCTGTTAAATAGCTGTATGCAGCTTTTTAACATCAGAGTTGTGAAACACGAGACTACATCTGAAAAAGACTGCCTGCATCTCTGCTGGATTTTTCATTTATGAACGACTGAATATGATTTGGAAGGAAATCTGCATGTTTACAGCACAGAACGGAGGTAGGGAGCTGTTTCTTCTAGTTCTTCAGTTTCTCTCAGCTTCACATGGTGACAGGAGTCAAAATTAAATAGGTGGAGGGATGCAGGACATTCTCTTTAGTGTTTTTATTTTCCTATTCTCTCCATCCTGCTGCTTCCTCCTCGACACTCACCTCTTCCTCTCTTCCTCCCTGCAGCACCAGAGGCTGCATGCCATCCGTCAGCAGCGGGACAAGATGGTGAAGGAGGGGAGCTACACGCCGCCGACCTGCCACTCAGGCAAGCCCGACCAGACGCCATGAGGGAGTTCTGCTCTTGTTTATAGTAAATCAGATGTCGCTGTTTCCTGTCCGCCTGTACACGTTTGCAAATAAATGTTATCATCGAAGAGCTTCCGGTCTTTTCCTTCCCTGTCTTTCTACTGTGCACTGAAATGTGTGAAGAGGCTAAGAATGAAAACATTACACTCTAGTACTGTACTTAACTCAAATTTGAAGTACTTGTACTTAACACGAGTATTTCCATTTAATGCTGCTTTATATGGAGATATTGTACTTATTTGTCCACATGAAAGCCATACTCATTAGTTACTTTAAAAGTGAAGAGATGATGAATTTAAAATATAATGCGCTGTTGTATATTAAACTACAAATAGTACTTAGAATTGATAATTGATCATTCAAATCAAGTTTAATAATACTTGAATTTACTCAAGCAAAAATGTTCAATACAGTACAATTATTTTAGCATTTTTGTTGACTCCGTATATACTGTTCTTTGTTTTTATCCTCAGAATTTTATGTGTTTACTCTTAAACCCTAATGTGGACTGAAGGCGTCTGCTGCTGTTAAATATTTGACACAATTATTGAGCAATAAAGTGAAAACGCTTCATGCTTGCATCTTCTGAAAAAGCCTGCAAATAATGCAAAGCAGTCATCCTGTGAGTGATGACCACAGCTGGTTAAATGTCTAATTTAATGTCATCTCTGCAGCTGTGGTCGTCAGCTGTGGTTCTGCTGCCAATGTAAGTAAGTTAAACTACAGTTCATTTTCTTAACCCACTGACCTAATTCTAGTAAATCCTTTAACTGATGCAGTGAGTTAGCGCTCCAGAGGGACCTCTCCGATGAGAGACTGATATGAGTTGATCCTGTTGGACGTCCTCGATTCAATTACCAGCATTTAACTCTGACGGATGGGATTAGTGAGGCTCCATGAAGCGCCACAAGATGGAGCCAAGAGCTCAGGCGGGACAGGAGGGTGAACTCACCAGGTATCTAGGAAGAGATGACAGTTTGTTCAGGTTCAAGTTCAAGTTTTCTACATTTAAGCTCAAACCACTTAACAGTTTCATGGCTGCATTTAAGTTTGTTACGAGTCGTCTTTTTCAGCCAGAGTCCACAAGAATAACATAACTGGCACATATGTTTCATAAACATGTTAAAGAAAATACAAAGTGAACAGTTAAATACATAAAATGTGTACTTTTGTGATGTTAAATACTCAGAGAGGTTAAGAGACTTTGGATGGTGGTTGGTACTAAATTGTGTCGGTTTGGTGAAGTCTGCTTAAAATGAGCTTAAAATCTCCATATTTCTTAAATCCAAAAGATTATTATAAATTGTTATCTTTTAGTAATAGTTATTGGATTAGACAGAGGCTGAAAACATTTCAGTGTGACAAAACAAAAATATAAATAAGGAGGAAATGTTTTACTATCATACAGATGTTTTGACCCACGGCAAGTACAAGCCTCAGTTTAAGAACAAGTCCTGAGACCATAAGCTAAATACCCAGACTGGTTACATCGGGCCTAACTGAATGTCGAAGTGTTTGAGTGTCCCCACAAACTGAGCTGTATAATTAGTATAATGTCACATCTTAAAATCTGATTAAACTCCATTGAGGGTTTTGACTTTATGCCCGTTAGTGAATGGATACGTCTTTCCACTGAGAATGACTCACAGTAACGCTTTGTCTGGAGGCTGTCGGCCTCATTGTCCTCCATTGGCTTTATTACATTGAAGATGACAGATAACCATGACGGCGTTGATAGATCCATGGCATTATCACAAGGTTTCAATTGTGCAAATTGAATTTTTGTCAGGAGTTTGCTGCCAGTGGACTCATGTCAGGAGCATCAGTTTGATATGCACAACAGCTCTGTTTACACTGAAGGCTAATCAATGACTGATAGTGAAAGAATGAGCAGTGATAGTAGTGAACTTTACCCCGTGTTTTGTCATCACCGCTTGATTACAGCGGCAGCAGCACAGATCTGTGATGTGATGGACGGAGAACGAGAACGTCCGGATTATCCTCCACCGCCGACAAACACACGGCAATCCCAGTGATATTCAGTTGACCCAGTGCCTTATCAATCTGAGAGCCAGACAGTCTCACAAAAGACAGACACGTCAACTAATACCAGGCCAATCATCACTAACAACTAAAACAGAGCAACGTTCGTTTGGAGTCGTGTTTGTGGCCACTCGATGACTCCAGTGTTCGCTCTCTTTTAGCTCTGTTTTTGGTCTCCACCAGCTCCTGAGGTAAATATCTGTCTCTTTAGCTGCTAATGCTCCACTTTGTCCCCCAGCTAGTCGCTAGCTAAGTCTGTCTGCTGATGTTGCCGCTTTTTAGATGCCACGAAAGCTGCGAAACTGAACAAAAACAGTAAAGTTGTGGGCTGTCAAACCAAACCAGTGAACCGAGAGACTCTTCAGGGGTTGGCAACCTGTTTATATGAAGTGACATTTTTATTTTATCTTTTTTATTTATCTATATATATATATATATACATTCACCGGCCACTTTATTAGGCACACCTGTTCAATTGCTTGTTAACACAAATAGCTAATCAGCCAATCACATGGCAGCAACTCAATGCATTTAGGCATCTAGACGTGGTGAAGAGGACTTGCTGAAGTTCAAAGCGAGCATCAGAATGGGGAAGAAAGGGGATTTAAGTGACTTTGAACGTGGCATGATTGTTGGTGCCAGACGGGCTGGTCTGAGTATTTCAAAAACTGCTGATCTACTGGGATTTTCACGCGTAACCATCTCTGGGGTTTACAGAGAATGGTCCAAAAGAGAAAGTACCCAGTGAGCAGCAGTTGTGTGGACGAAAATGCCTTGTTGAGGTCAGAGGAGAATGGGCAGAGTGGTTGGAGATGATAGAAAGGCAACAGTAACTCAAATGACCACTTGTTACAACTAAGGTCTGCAGAATACCATCTCTGAACGCACAACACGTGGAACCTTGAAGCAGACGGGCTACAGCAGCAGAAGACCACACCGGGGGCCACTCCTGCCAGCTAACAACAGGAAATTGAGGCTACAATTCGGCTCACCAAAATTGGACAACAGAAGATTGGAAAAACGTTGCCTGGTCTGAAGAGTCTCGATTTCAGCTGCGACATTCAGATGGTAGGGTCAGAATTAGGCGTAAACAACATGAAAGCATGGATCCATCCTGCCTGTATCAACGGTTCAGGCTGCTGGTGGTTGTGTAATGGTGGGGGGAATATTTTCTTGGCACACTTTGGGCCCCTTAGTACCAATTGAGCATGGTTTAAACGCCACGGCCTACCTGAGTATTGTTGCTGACCATGTCCATCCCTTTATGACCAGTGGACTCATCTCCTGATGTCTACTTCCAGCAGGATAATGCAGCATGTCACAAAGCGGGAGATTCGCATCATGGATGTGCAGCCGACAAATCTGCAGCAACTGCGTGATGCCATCGACGCAATATGGACCAAAATATGTGAGGAATGTTTCCAGCAGCTTGTTGAATCTATGCTACGAAGAATTAAGGCAGTTCGGAAGGCAAAAGGGGTCCAACCCGGTACTAGCAAGGTGTACCTAATAAAGTGGCCGGTGATTGTATGTGTAGTCCGAAGTCCGGGGATCCCTCGGTGGTCTGGGACTCCTGTGACCAGACATACCAAAGTTCAGCCCGAACTGTGAAGCTCCCCGATCAGGGAGCGGCAGCCCCAAGTCCAACTCTCAATTTGATTATTTATTTATTTTTAGCTGATCCCTCTCTTCCTCCAGCTGTTTGGAGAGGGAGGAGGGGGCAGTGTGTGCGTGTGTGTGTGTGTGTGTGTGTGTGTGGGGGGGGTATAAAAACCCAGATTAATACTATCTCGTGATGTAAACGCGCTGCTTCTTCGGTGTAATCCTGAAATATATGTGAATGAGTAGCCGCTGCAAATATGAACTATGTGAACGCCCTTTTCCTCCCTGAATTGAGAGAAAGTGTGTGTGTGTGTGTGTGTGTGTGTGTGTGTGTGTGTGTGTGTGTGTGTGTGCGTGCGTGCGTGCGTGTGTGTGTGTGTGTGTGCGTGCGTGTCGGCCTGGGTTTGGCGGTGCACGGATGACGCAGGAGTACGACCCGAAATTTCAATTTCCGCAACACTTAACACACTCAATAGACATGGGTAAAGTGTGAAAACTGCCTATTGAAGAGAGAGCGTGTGTGTGTGAGTGTGTATGTGTGTGTGAGTGTGTGGAAGCGGAGCAGGAGAGGAGGGCCGGTGGGGGTTGTTGAGAGCGGAGAAAGGGAGAGAGAGGCAGAGGGGGAAAGAGGAGGAATCGGACAGCCATTATAGCATTCAGGATTACGTTGCTTTGCTGTTCTTTGCGTCATCGCCTCCCCCTCCTCCCCTCACGGCTGTGTGTCGGCTCGGTTCTTTAGGAAAAAAAAACCCGATCGGTGGAAGCCGAAAAAATCCTTCCGTCCAGCCATCCAGGAGGAGAGGGAGCGGCGGCGGCAGCAGCATCCCCGGCCTCCCTCGCTCTGTGCTCGGATCTCAGGATCCGCTGCTGCCCGGTGAAGGTAAGCGGCTCCGGAGCTCCGCGTAGCCCGGCTATAGCGTTTCCAGCTCCGCAACCCACCGGACCCGGATCATCATTATAATGTACCCACAAGAGATGTCGAGTCCGGCGGTGATATTATTTATACGTAACATGAATATTCTTAGAAATCAAAAGTATCAGCTCGAGGCGATTCATAACTATCAACTCACACTTTAGGAACATATTTAATTGTAATATTTCTAGACCGTTCGTATTAAAATTAACATGTTGATGATGTGGGTTTGGTGAAGGTGTTGCCCCTCACTGAGACCTTCGTTAATAACGTGTTGATCAGTTACACGTTGATTGCCATTCATATGAGAAGGACCGAGTGTGTCTTCACCGTCATGATCTCAGTTACCGCCTGAAACCGTCCACTCTCGAAGCACACTGCATGCTCGTGATTCGTGCGCCGGAGGGCCGGGCTGGAAATAACCAGCGGACAGTCAGTCGGAGAGGGTTTCTGGGTCGCGCTGAGTCTGCCCGGGGTTGGTACCCGCTAATGAGACACTCAGCAGCGGCGGTACGGAGGCGGATGTTCGGCACCGGCCGCAAATGGATAAATGTAATTAGTTGGTGTTTGTGCGTCCGAGGCAGGGCCGGTGTGGCGGACAAAGAGCCCCCGTGCTTCCACTCTGCTCCTGCATGCGTGCACGTTTTAGGTCTCCATGTCTGATGTCCACACATTCCTTCTTCACATTCAATGGGAGAGAGACAGAGAGAGAGACAGAGAGAGGCGAGGCAAGTTTATTTGTATAGCACATTTCAACAACAAGGAAATTCAGAGTGCTTCAAGAGAGAGGGAGAGAGGGAGACAGAGAGAGAGAGAGATGCATGCATGCATAAAATGATGACATGAGCCACCAGCTGCAGCTTTTTTTGTGTGTATAAACACACATTTATGAGAGGCTGCCTTTATTGATCCGTGCAATGCCCCTTGACCCTCCATCAGCACACCTCCAGCCTGCACCTGCTGTGTGAATCCCAATGGGCTCCACCACTGCAGGCTGTCTGTGTGTCTGTCTGGAAAACCTCAGTGATATTATGCAAGGTGCAGTCAGAGACAGACAGAGAGAGAGAGAGAGAGAACAAAAAAATCAAGATGCAGAGCCTCCCCTCCTGCCGCTTTGTAGCAGATGGTCAAACGTGCATCTCCCTCCAGCCTTATGTTGGACCTCCAGCGTGCAGGCTTCTCCTCAGTCCGACCCGGAAGGCACAAAACAACCTATTCAGTTCTATTTTACTCAGGTGAAATTCTATAATTCAGTTGGTCTCTTCCACCTATTTCTTCCTCTGCACTGGCCATGGACACACCCCCTTACTACTGTGTGTTGTCTGGTGGAAAGCACCAATATGCCTCTGATGCATGATGAAAGAGTGTATGAGACGTGGCTGTATGTCGATTTAATCACAAGTCTAAGAGGATTTCTGCTTTATTAATCGAAGCACACGAGTCACTTTTAGTATCCAGTGACAGGCAGCGGATTCTAACCTTCATTGTTGATCATCATCTGTCAGTTCTTTAGATATATAACTTCCAGAAGCTCAATGTGAAGTCTTCAAATAGTTTAATTTGATCCGATTAACAGTCTAATATCAAAATATGTTTAATTTACAATGAAACAAAAAGTGACACAGTTTGAACTGTTGAATTATTGCTATGTCAACAATGGGACTTTAAGAAGCAGCTCCTGGACTCTGGAGCTGTCATGGTCGGTTAGAGTCTAAGGTGACATCTCCAATTCCCTTGTTTTGTCCAACCAACAGCCCAAAATCCAAATGTAGATTATTCGATAACAGAGAAAATAAGCAAATCCATATATTTGAGATGCTGAAGCCGCCGGCAATTTTTGCTCGATAAAAGACTTTAACTGAACTGATTCTCTCTCTATCATCTAATTCAGTGGCCTCCGACCTTTGTGTCTTGGGATGTGTTGACGTAAATTACAGTCACCTCAACCAACCTTCCTAGATATTTCTGGAGAAAATAAAGATATGAAAATATTCAGGTTCTGCGAAAACCCTGAGCAAAATTAAGGAAAAGTTTATTGGTCTTTCTTTTCCTTTTAATTATGTTGTCACCCATCAAATGTGTCTTGATCCTCAGCCATAGTTTAAGAACCTGTCGTCTAATCCATGATACTGAAATGGTCCCTTTTCTCTTTGTGAAATGCTTGACTGGCAGCTCCATCCTCCCCCGTCTGTCTGCCTGCCTGCCTGCCTGTCTGTCTGTCTGTCTGTCTGTCTGTCTGTCTGTCTGTCTGTCTGTCTGTCTGTCTGTCTGTCTGTCTGTCTGTCTGTCTGTCTGTCTGTCTGTCTGGCCAGCGGTCTCTGTGGGTTTGCAGCTCTTTGATATGCACACTGCATCTCATCATGAGTGAAAGAAGAAAAAAAATAGAGACGGAGAGAAACAGAAGGAGAGATTTCTCATCTCCTCAGGGTTGACGCTGTCTTTTGGGTCTTTTACGGTGCTAACAGTGACGTCGGCCTACGTATTGATCAGTAAGACGGCAGAGTCAGTGAGTCCATGCTGCGCTTCTCTCTCCTTTTATATCTCTGTCTTCTTTTATCCTCCGTCACTTGTTAACCTCACAGTTGTCTTTCTTTTCTCAGATTTCTCTGTCTCTGCCTCTACTCTCACCCTCACCCTCACTTTAATTAACTCTCGCTCTGTCCAGTCATGCTGAGTAGTAAGCTACGGTATTGTTGGCAAGCCAGTTCAGTTTCTGTGTGTGTGTGTTTATACATATATGCGAGTGTCTATCCATGTGTATTTATGTATACGTGTGTGTGCGTAGGGGAGCTGAGTCTAGCCATTCATTTATCCAGTCAGTCAGTGTGTTACTCATCATGACGGGGGGCTGCGTAATTCATCCTCATCCATACGCACTATCTACAACTTTAATAACTGATGTAACAAGTGTGCTTTCAATATGTCATTTATAAGTGCAAGGCAAAGAAATTGGACCCCGATAGCGACGTTTCAAGGAAGATCAGATGTCAAAGTCAAAGAGACAGACATAAAGTAAAGTTGTATCGACAATTTAGAGGACGAGTTTGACATTTTGGGGAATGACGATTTGCTTTCTTGCCGAGAGTTAGACAAGAAGATCGATACCACTCCTCCCACCTGTTTGTGCTCGCGCTGCATTCATAGCATGAGAACAGGAAAACAAATCCTGTTATTCTACTTTAGTTCACGCAATATTCCAAGATGTTACTCCAACTGCTCGCTTCGTAATCACACCATCAAAACAGCCTCAATTGCTTTTGCTATATTACCTATTTGGAGTGATTTATTAACAAGTGAAACAAGATAGAAACAAAGAATAAGTTCCTTTTAGATTAGCTGAATGGATTTTAAAAGTGTTAATACTGGATTTTATTGACATGCAAAGGTCAGTGATGGTGGCTTTGTGGTTTCTTGACGCTTGCTATAGGCCAAGCTGTTTTCACCAAGTGGTTGATGTTGTGACGGTTATAAATCCTCTCAGCTGCGTGTAGTTAAGGTTTAAACAATATGACCTGAACACAGCACAAGCATGAAGCGGGAGCCAGAAGGCAATTTACTTAGCTTAGCATAAAGACTGGAAACAGCAGTTAGCCCGTCTTTATCCAAATGTTGAGAAATACACCGACCGTCACCCCTAAAGCTTACTAACTAACACATTGTATCTCGTGTGTTTCCCCCTGTTTCCACTCTTCATGCTAAGTTAAGCTAACAACCTCCTGACTTTAGCTCAATCCTTAGTGTACAGACATGAGAGTGATCTTGACCTTTCCATTGAACTCTTGGCAATATAATGAATAAGCGTATTTCTAAAAATATCAAACTATTTCTTTAAAGTTACAGGACCAGCAGGTGTTGGACCGGTGCTAGTTGCTGTTAATTAGGCTCTCACGTGCGCGCGACACTGCCTTGGTAATCTTGCCTTGGTAGATTGTGCTAATTATGCTAATGATGCTTACGTGACGTGACTGCGTGGTTAAAAAGCAAGTTTATCTCCGGTCAGTAATATACAAGTCTGCCACACATGACTTTTTTTGTCCTGCAGCGGACTCTGCAGTGTGTCGGCGTCACAGAATTGACCGCCCTCATCTTCACACTTTCAAGGAACAGTTTGAGATTCCAGGAAACACGCTTATAGTTCGATGAGATGAGTGATACCTCTTTCATGTCTGTGCGCTGAGTATAGAGCTAGAAACAGGAGGTGTAGCCTAGCTTAGCATAAAGTCTATAAACAGGGGGAAACAGCTAGCTAGCTTCGACTCAACACCGACTGCAGCTCTGGATGTATGATGTAAATCCCATGTGTCGATCAGATGTGTTTCTGATCAGGTGGCTCTATGTTATGGAGTTTGTCCGGCCGAATTATTATCCATCTGTTGAGCACGGATGTCAGTTAAACTCCCATCAGCGTTGGTATGCTGCTCTGGTACGACACACAGAGGTTACGACCGTGTCTAGTTTTCTCTCTCTGACTCTTTCCTACATGTTCTTTCTTTTCTTGTCTTCCCTTTTCTCTCCTTTTTAATCTTTTGCCATACTTCTACATCTCTGTCGTTCTCCCTCTCTCTGCTTCATGTCACTTTCCGCATTCACACACACACATACACACACACACCTACAAACACACACACCCTCCTCAGGCTAAACTGTGGGAACAGACCGTGTCCATGTAAATCCTGGTTATAAATCAGCTCAGTCAAGCATTCAGTGTGGATATGTGTGTGCTTCTAAAACTTTGGTGCACACTTGCTTTTGTGTATTGATGTGTAAGTCAGTTATTTAGTATATAAATTAAAATATATTAGTTAATCATTCAAGTCATTTATCAAACAAAAATGTAAAATATTCGCTGGTTTCACGTCCTTAAATGTTGAGGGTTTGTTGCTCTTGTCACTTTGGGCTTTGGCAACTTCAATGGATGTTTTTCACGATGTTGTGACATAGTGTAGATTAAAGTAGAACAGATAGGCTATTTGCTAGCTGCCCCGGTCAGTCTAATTGAAAAAAAACGACTCCTGGGGACTTGAGAACTTGCAGTAAGTATTTATCTCAGTGTTTTTAAATGTATTTATTTTTTTACATATGATAAAGAAATAGTCTGACAAATGTTTAACTAAAAGACTAACAATAATAGATCAATCCAGAACTGAAATAATTAGTCAGTTAACCGATTAGTAGCTCGACAGATCATTTTATGTTTTTATGATAAACTGGATATCTTTGGCTTTTCAACTGCTTATCAAACAAAACCGGTAAATTGAAGATGTCACCTTTATCTGGGAACTTTAATGATAAATGTAGATATATACACCTATGTTTTTAGCTTTTATGGACAAGAAATAACAAAAGAGTAAAAATGAATCAATAATGAGAGTAATCATTATTTCACAAAAAGCTGGGAGCAAAGTATGTGAACACATGGTGTGAGTGAAAAATGCATTGGCGAGCATCTCATCAGACAGGAAGTGATCTCATTCTCTCACTGCTCCGCCGGTGTTTCTGCTGGTAGTTTCTCCTTCATCATCATCTTCTTCTTCAAAGATCTCTTTTTCTCCTCCCATAGCACTAATGACATGGTGCGGCTTTGAAGCCTCCATTCTGGCTCTATTTATAAAACGGCTAGTTGCAGTGGCACTGACTCACTGTCAGCAAGCAGCAGGGAAACTGACTACACACACATACACGCATACACACGCACACACACATACAGATATACATGCACACACATACACACACACACACACATGTAGAAACACCAACACGAGGACAGAGACACACACAGACTCGTACACCAGAGAACCGCAGAGAATTGTGGGAAGGCCTTAACCTCTTCCTAGCTAGCGTTGCCGTGGAGATGGGGATTCAGGAAGTGGGGCCTTGCCAGCGGTCTAGCCAGGGGCCAACAGCAGGAGGAGGAGGAGGGGGAGGAGGAGGACTTTTGGCAGCACTAGCCCAGATGGAAAACCCAGCCGTTTTGTCGGACTCACACATCGTACACAGAAACATTCCCACCCTGTGACGGCTGCTCAGGTCGCTCCACAGCTTAGTCTGCTGCTCTTTGGCAGCCAGCAGAAGTTAGTCACCCCGTAAAGTGCTCACTGTTTAAGGGGTTAAGCTGGATGTTTGTTGAGTCTCTCAGGCGCTGGAGTGACTGTTTTTCTAACTGTTAGTGGGTGATCCGTGAAACAAACCGGATCACTGGTGGATTTAGGGACTTTTATTCTGAAAGACTTCATATCCATTTTGAGGAAACATCAGTAAAGATTTCAAAATTATAGATTGTCCAGGGTTTCTCCAAATACTGAAAGTTGGTTTACCTTTGAAGTCGCAAAATAAGTTGCACGTGGTTTCTTTATTAATTTGCTAACTTCTAGTTTTCATCCTGCTGTCTTCTAACCTTCATCACAACCTCCACCCTCTGTGTTGAAGATGGTGTTTAGCCTTACAAACCTTTTTCACAGAAAAGCACAGGTGTAAATAATCAAATGAATGATGGTTTTAGGGTCCTGGTATTCTCCATACTTAACTCACTGAGAGTGTGATGATGAGTGTATTGCTTTGTTTTAAGAAACCACTGAGATACAATAAGCTGCATTCCATATTGTCGTCTTAGCCGGTCGAATGTTGCATTCAATATGTTGTTTTTAAAATTGTTGCTCCTTAACTACAAATCCCATTACTGCTGACCATTTTTGAATGTACATATGTGGAGTTTCAGAGTTTTGTTTTTATCCAGAAGTAATTGCAGAGTGACTGAAAAGTCTGCATTGCTACCGGTTACCTTACAGATCAAGATTTTACAAACACAACATACGATCAATTTATGACAATGTGCTGTAGATTAAACTCTCCATCAGTATATAAAGTAGTTCAAATGAGCTCCACCTCCACTCAGACCATATCCACTCGATATACAGTATAGTCATACAGCTCTCTGAAAGGTTAACTTAATACTTTAAGTATATTCTGCTGTTAATACTTCTGTAGTTTTTCTAAGTGAAATCTTGGATGTAAGACTTTTACTTGTCACAGAGTATATTTAACGGAGCTGCATTGAAACTTTTACTGAAGTAAAAGATATGAGTATTTCTTCTAATCTGATTAAAAGACAAGACTAATATCAAATACATGTGATTTGCAGTAAAACATTAGAATTGTCTTCTTAAAGACACATATGAAGATGTTTTTGCATCGTACAGCTTTTTAAGAAATGAGCACATAGCTAAATACACAGTGAAGATGGATATACGTATAATGAATTGCATGATGTGCACATAGTCTGTGAGCTGGATTCAAACTCATGACTCCAGGAGCACAGCGGACGCTCACTAACCTGTAACTCCCTGTGGAGCTGCAATATGAGAGCCGGTAACGGCCAATTCATTCTCTCAGGACAGGTATTGATTTTATGAGGCTGTGATGGACAGATCAGAGCGTCAGGTCCCCAGAGTGCACGCACACACGCACGCACGCACGCGCACGCACGCACGCACGCACACGCACGCGCACGCACGCACGCACACGCACGCACACACACACGCACACAACCATGGACACTCATTGACATAATATATTCTATAACCCCTTACTCTGACCAAAACTTAATTCTAAACTCAACCTTAAAACCAAGTCTGAACAGATCTTTGTGCCAAAGTGAGGACCGGCCAAAATGTCCTCACTTGGAAGGTCTAACGCTCAAAAACTTGGTCCTCACAAACATAGCTGTACAAGTACACACACACACACACGTCTGCCTTGTGTGTTTGCTTACATCAAGTATTTACTGTCACTTATTTTTCTTCATAATAAATAGGTATTGAATTTAATCTATATTTCAACAAACAGTCAGTGTAAAGATGAATGAGCAACAGACAAGAGAGAAGCAGAGAAGGAAAGGACAGAGTGAAAATGAGATGAAGATGGAGAAGAAAAAAAACCTCTCCTGTCTTCCCAGCTTATTGACTTTTCTTTAAAAATAGAAACGCTAGAAGAGCTTTGAAATCTCATCTCTCTGTCTTTGGTCTTTGCTCCTAGTCTTAGCCAAGTCTGTTGAGTAGACGAACCCCCCCCCCCCCTACCAAACAGAGCTGACATCATCCTCTTCATCAATAAATCGGCTCCAAACAGGGTGTAAGGTTAATTACCACACAAATTACAAAAAAGCTTGAATAGTGGCCTTTTAATAAAGATAACAAGTTAGAAGTGTGTTTTTGTGATAGTGTATGAAAAAAAGTCTGAAGCCAAATCAACATAAGCAGGAATATTTTAAAGTGAAACAATATATATCTATTCAATGAAAATGTTTGATGGAGGGAAAAAAAGTACATGCATGTACATGTATATATGTATGTATCTATATCAGCAGTCATGTTAGCGTCTCTGTGAGGCTTCAGGTGGACACAGCGGTGCTTTGACCTAAATGCTAATGTGAGCATGCTCACGATCACAATGCTAACATGCGGAAGCAGGTGTAATGTTTACCACGTTCACCATCGTTGGATCCTGGTTTATTGACTTCAGTGATGGGAAGATATGCTCTGAGCAGGCCTCAGTAATGTCTCATCTTGCCTGCTGTCATGTGCTCTCTTCGTCTACAGTAGTTCATCACTGAAGGTCTGCAGCCTCACAAACTCACGAGCGTTCGTCGAGAGATGATGACTAATGTAACCCAGTTGTTTCTCTCTTTCTGTTGTGCTGTTACGTCGAAACGTTGTATCATTCATGATGCGTGATCACACTGTACCCCAGCAAATGAATTATACAATTCTTCTGTCCTCCCTTCTTTTGACCTCCTTTCTTTCCCCCTCCCCCGCTGCCCTCATCCCTCCCTCCATCCCTCTCTTTCTCTTCCTCATTCCGTCTTCTCTTTCGCAGCTTCCCGGGAACGAGATGGAGTCCTCGGATGACGATACTCTAAGCGAGCGCTCCTGCGTCAGTGAGCCGTCCTTCCGTAGTGAGCGTTCGGGGGGGTCGCTGTCCCCGTGCCGGTCGGGCACCGCGGGGCCGCCGGGAGACACACTGCCGTGGAACCTGTCCAAACACGAGCGGAGGAAGAGGAAGAGCCAGGACTCGGTGCTGGACCCGGCAGAGAGGGCGGTGGTTCGCGTGGCAGGTAAGGGGAAAAAACCGTCTCGCACTGGTGATGCCTTTGAGCAAGGCACCGGGGCCCGCATCTGTTGAGTGGGGCTGCTGTGAGAGTGTGCAGTGGAAAACAGAGACTATGTACCCCTGAAGTGAAACTAAAACCTGACCTGAAAACTGATTGTACCTGTGATTGTGGCGAGGTAACAGAGAATTAGGGCTCAAAAGTACGAAAACTGACACTGAACTCTTTTTAACATTAAATGTCTCTGTAAAATCGTTTTATCTTGTATTGAGCCACAGGACACAGGACGTCTCTACTTCATTCTCACTTGAATGCTGACATTTTCTTGGCTTCTCACGTTTGATCACGGGGCTTCCTCCTGGCTTTGATTAAAGGCCTATACTTGCTTCCACGCTCAGTAAATGTCACAGAGATGGGGGGGAAATCTGGTGGTGGTCTCTTATATTTATACTTTGGATAAAAGCATGTACAGCATGCTATTAAAAGTGTTATCTTGTAACAGTCATCACTGCTAGAGGATTCAGGGAAGAAGCTTTCCTGACTCCTCTGTACTGCTGTCCAGCCACATGGGCGACTGTCCTCCCTCCGTCTCTTGAGTCTTTCCTCCTCTCTTGCTCGCTGTAACAGAAGATGGAGGAGAAATGTAGGTTACTCAGTTCTGGGGAGCAGCCAGGGTTCCCCTGCTCGTGTAATGGCACACTGGTAGCAGCCTGACAGCTTCTCCTCAGTGGAGGGGAAGCTTCCAGCTCGATAATTGAGGTGAATGATGTAAAAGTGGACTTAGTGCTGCTCCTCTTACCAGCAGTGCTATTTTTTTCCACTCACAGCATTTCATGATTGCGCTGATAATTTCCTGATTGAGGCTTTTATCAGTGGGTACGGAAAGTATTCAGACCCCTTTAAATTTTTCACTCTTTGTTTCATTGCAGCCATTTGCTAAAATCAAAAAAGTTCATTTTATTCCTCATTAATGTACACTCAGCACCCCATCTTGACAGAAAAAAACAGAAATGTAGAAATTTTTGCAAATTTATTAAAAAAGAAAAACTGAAATATCACATGGTCATAAGTATTCAGACCCTTTGCTGTGACACTCATATTTAACTCACATGCTGTCCATTTCTTCTGATCCTCCTTGAGATGGTTCTACTCCTTCATTGGAGTCCAGCTGTGTTTAATTAAACTGATTGGACTTGATTAGGAAAGGCACACACCTGTCTATATAAGACCTTACAGCTCACAGTGCATGTCAGAGCAAATGAGAATCATGAGGTCGAAGGAACTGCCCAAGGAGCTCAGAGACAGAATTGTGGCAAGGCACAGATCTGGCCAAGGTTACAAAAGAATTTCTGCAGCACTCAAGGTTCCTAAGAGCACAGTGGCCTCCATAATCCTTAAATGGAAGAAGTTTGGGACGACCAGAACTCTTCCTAGACCTGGCCGTCCAGCCAAACTGAGCAATCGTGGAAGAAGAGCCTTGGTGAGAGAGGTAAAGAAGAACCCAAAGATCACTGTGGCTGAGCTCCAGAGATGCAGTAGGGAGATGGGAGAAAGTCCCACAAAGTCAACTATCAGTGCAGCCCTCCACCAGTCGGGGCTTTATGGCAGAGTGGCCCGACGGAAGCCTGTCCTCAGTGCAAGACATATGAAAGCCCGCATAGAGTTTGCCAAAAAACACATGAAGGACTCCCAGACTATGAGAAATAAGATTCTCTGGTCTGATGAGACCAAGATTGAACTTTTTGGCGTTAATTCTAAGCGGTATGTGTGGAGAAAACCAGGCACTGCTCATCACCTGCCCAATACAATCCCAACAGTGAAACATGGTGGTGGCAGCATCATGCTATGGGGGTGTTTTTCAGCTGCAGGGACAGGACGACTGGTTGCAATTGAAGGAAAGATGAATGTGGCCGAGTACAGAGATATCCTGGAAGAAAACCTCTTCCAGAGTGCTCTGGACCTCAGACTGGGCCGAAGGTTCACCTTCCAACAAGACAATGACCCTAAGCACACAGCTAAAATAACAAAGGAGTGGCTTCGGAACAACTCTGTGACCATTCTTGACTGGCCCAGCCAGAGCCCTGACCTAAACCCAATTGAGCATCTCTGGAGAGACCTGAAAATGGCTGTCCACCAACGTTCACCATCCAACCTGACGGAACTGGAGAGGATCTGCAAGGAAGAATGGCAGAGGATCCCCAAATCCAGGTGTGAAAAACTTGTTGCATCATTCCCAAGAAGACTCATGGCTGTACTAGCTCAAAAGGGTGCTTCTACTCAATACTGAGCAAAGTGTCTGAATACTTATGACCATGTGATATTTCAGTTTTTCTTTTTTAATAAATTTGCAAAAATTTCTACATTTGTTTTTTTCTGTCAAGATGGGGTGCTGAGTGTACATTAATGAGAAATAAAATGAACTTTTTTGATTTTAGCAAATGGCTGCAATGAAACAAAGAGTGAAAAATTTATAGGGGTCTGAATACTTTCCGTACCCACTGGATGGATGCCAACATCTAGCTGTGACTCTGTCGAAGAGCAGCCTGCAGTTGATGGAAGAGTACATATACATTATATTATATTATTTATCCAGCTTTTATCCAACGCGTCTTACAATTATAAGTGTATTCAACCATGAGGGTACAACTGCTACATTTAGAGACAGAGTTAAAAATACATATATTTTAAATTGTAATATTCAATTACATTTTTTTAATTTAGATTGTTAGATTAGATTAGATTTTCATTTTTTTATTTTATGGGCCAAGGTGCAGTCAAACACCTACATTATGCCCAGTATAACAATAAAGGGCAATAATCACCTAAAACTATATTGTTTAGTCTGGACTAGACTACATGTAGAACATGTCGGTATCAGCATGGAAATGATCACATAATGGCAAACAATTCATTATCATACATCCGTCCTGTGCTGACATCCCTGTTTAGCCTTTTTATGTGAGAAATGAACGGTTATAAACTGGCCGCACTGCTATAATTCCACTATCATTGTGAATGCCAGTTGCATGGGAGGTGAAGGGGGCTGTGTTGTTGGAGGAGGCGATGACAGTAAAAGCCTACTTTATAGACATGGAAACAGCATGTAGGTCAGGTGAAGGGGTGGATGTGACCTCTGTGTGTGTTAATGCTCTTATAGCACATATGTGAAGAAAAGATGTGTTTCTGTCGGGATGTGATAAGTTTCATTCTCCAAGGAAGCTGCCGATGTTCCATGCCGAGTGAGAATGAAATGAGCCAAAGCAGACGTTACATGTTGGTGCAAGAAGAAACAGACCGTGTGTGCTAAACTGAGAAGATGTTTAAGCGTTGGATGTTAAAGTATGTGTGTGTATTTCTGGGACTGTGTCACGTGCACACACTTTTATACATGCACCCAGTTAGAAAGTGCTATAAATATAGATGAAAACGAAGGCGATAAAAGGGCAGCTTGTGGTTATAAAAACAGTGAAAGTTCTACATGCTGTAATGTGAAAACCAAGCTGTGCGCTTACAGAGGAGAGCAAACTAAAAACAACTCAAAAAGCTCAAAAGCAACCTTGTAATGTTCCCCAAAATATAATATAATTACCCATAAATTGAAGTCACTCACTGCTGCAACTTCTCACATGATTTCTTAATGATAGCAATGACAACAGTCTGACGTGCAGCTGCTAACGGATCAATTCCACACGCGATATGAGATAGTGAGAAATGCTGAAGACAGCTGCAAACCAACTAAGTCGTCTTTTTTTCCGACACCAACACGTGGCGGCTCTTTTCTGTTTACATATGAAAGGCTAATTACAAGCAGATCTGAGAGCAGGGACGTGGAATCAGTTATCACGCTGGTTAAAGACGGTTGGCGTCGTCACTTTTATGTCCTGTGGTCTTTTTTTCATGGCGTTGGTCTTTCTAAGCAGACAAGATGAAGAAAGAAACATCTTTTTAAACCAATAAAATGTTCAGTTCTACCTTTTTTGAAGGATAGAGATATATGTCTAGTTTTCTGTCACGCAGGCAGATGTGAGGCGGTAAATACAAATGTTTTTAATCAATGCTCAACTTTTCCTCTTTTTTATGTCTGTTGGACATGTGACGTGTAGTGGAAATTCACAGATGTGCTGCAGCTTGGTTTGTTTGTTCGTGTGTGTGTGTGTGTGTGTGTGTGTGTGTGTGTGTGTGTGTGTGTGAGAGAGAGAGAGGTAATTAAAGCATAGTTCTGAAAGGGAAGGGAACAAAAGAAAACATTTTAAAAAAGAGTATCTGAAATGATCAAAAGAGGCAGTTAGACAGGGAGGTTTCCTGGCAGCACCTTTGGGCTGAGTCAGCGAGTCAGACTTGTTGGTGTGGAGACCATCGGGCCGTGGTGGCAGCAGGTAGCGGGCTGAGCCGATGTTGGCGCCGCCACAAAGCGCCAGGGGTTTACACACTGCCAATGCTCTGCCGTGTGAAACCATCTCTCTAAACGATGCTGGTAGAGCCAATGCTGAATATTCAATACTAATACTACGCCTCATTGTGACACATGTCTTCCCAAAAATACATATGAAAACTAGATCTGAAGCTAAAAATGAGATGTGGGCCACTATTG